GCTAAACCCTCTCTCAATTCTATATTTCTATCTCATCGAAGCATCGACTAGCTGTTCATATAACTTGTATAGTTTTTCTGCTGGGAACCAGGAATTAAGACAGCTTAAGCTACTTCCGTTCCCATCTCCGTATTAGTCGTTTCCAACCTGTGCATCCCATTTCCCATGTTGTCATGTGGCTCTCTAACGCCACCAAAAAGAGGTTAATCACTTGTTTAAATACGAGGGGATACCATGAATGGAGATAGGTCAGTAGTATCCTTTTCTAATCCTAATGTGTTATTATTTGAGTCGATATGATATATGCTATTTTTGGTTGCTCAATAAGAACAGGCCTTCCTTCTGATTGACCTATTTTGTTGTTTCTTAAGTCGAAGGTTATGTTGCGCGCGGTTTTGTTGTTTTGGTCCAACACGTCAATTTCAACCATTGTGTTTTTTGATATTCAACAAATGAACATTTCATAGCAAATAATTGTTCTTGTCGTGCGTTGCATCACACGCTAAACAAGCAGTGGGTGACCTAAATGCGTGAGATGTGAAGTAATGCACATTCCTTTGGGGGATAATTAATATTTTACTCATTTGGAACACAACGACACAAGTTATTTCTTATCACAAGTTGGTCAGTCAGTTAACGATCTCCAAATGGTACTTTTTAGGACATTTGTGATAGAATTGAAAGGCGACAAGTTGACAGCCTTTGACGCGTCTTATCGTTTTGTTAACGCACGTAATGCTGGAACCAGCTCCAACGGTCTTGAATTCTCTATCTAATTAAAATTTTTCGTATAAATAGGCATCGAAAGTGTCCCCTAAATTTCCTTTTAGTAGCTGTATCGTTTTTTATGAGAAGGTACTTTCTCGTGGTTTTGAACTGCACTTTTACTGATCCTGTCCCGGTTTTAAATTGGCTTAATGAAACAAATGCACTGTACTTTCGCCGCCGCTTAGGAAAAGGTAAAATCCCATCAAATGATTTTCTCTCTCTCCATCCTAAATTCAACCCACGGGATCGTACTGTCGTATGAAAGCAGGGCGGTATTTTTCACTTGATATTTCCCACTCTACAATGGTATGCATTGATTAGATGACTGGAGATTAAGTAGGATTCTCACGCAATTCTTGTTGTAGCTCTCCTCGATGACTTTCAGCTTCCAGGCAGTGTAATACTCTATTTAAGATTTGTATTACTTTTCTCTTTTTTGAGCTCTTTTGTCATACGATGTTGGATGGGAGAATCTGGTGTGATTTGAGCTTGTCTAATTTACTAATCGAGTTTAGTCCAGTATCAGTGACACGTTAATTCAAAATGGAATTTTGGAGGGCCTTTTTAGCTTTATGCTCTGTTGGCTACGTGGTTGGGTACTTACTGAATTCACAACCGGAATAAAGACTTTTACACGAAACTGGTTGAATTCTGGGGACTCGAAGCGACCCTATTCTCACACATTTGCAGACTGTTTTTGGCTTTGTGCCTATAATGTTTATTAGCACATTTAAAGTCTATCTGTACTTGGTGTTGACCAATCAGGGGAACCGGATGAAGGCAAGAATCCGGAGTCTCTTTGGAATGTTCCGGGAAGAATCAAAACAGGGACGTTTTCTGTAGCTGCGGGTATCAACATCACTTAGTCATGTCTTATGTGGGTGATGAAATAGTACGTTTGCACCTCTATCAAGTGGAAGAGTCAATGAGTAGTCATTCAAAGACAACCATCTTCTAATCCTTCACTTCTTTCGTGTGCGAACTAAAATGTGTCAATAGAAAGGGATGTTTACCGACTGAATGAAAAATTACTTTTTGCTTTTCGGCATTCACCGTTTGTTATTCCGGAATATCCATTTTTTACTTTCCTCATACTTTCGATATGCATGCCGCTCCATTCCCAGGTGACTGTACATTGTGTGTAGTGTAGTGTGTAGCGCTGCAAGCGCAAATGCCCACTGGCTGAAGGCCAAACAACAATTGTGATCAAGGTCTTTCCACTACGTACACCCGGACACGCCATAAAAGTGGTTAAAATGAAGTCTTTAGAGTCAGTAGAGGAAGAGGCTTTCTCTAAAAGAGGGCGCATACTGCTTCATTCTCTACTCCATCCTCCAAAGCCTCCTTATTTCGTATTTCCCCACGTAATACCTGTGACCTCTTATCAGTAGACAATCACATGTGAAATGAAATAAATATCTGGTAAGTAAAAGCGGGATGAAATAAATGGAAATGACCAGGTTTAGATGTATTTTTCTGACTTTCAGAGACAGATTGCAGTAGGTTTATATTTCGTTACCGCCTAGGTTAGCCTTCATTGTGTTTCGAATCCCGATAAGACGTCTAGAAATAACAAAAAAGCCAAAAGCTGTGTGACGGTTTTAAGTAAATGCAATTCCTTTCACAATGTTCTAGTCCCCTCAACTTGTACATATGTTTTGGTATTACCTATGGTTGTTTTTTGAGGGTCGAAGTATCTGCCTAAAAGCATTTTTATTATCATGGTTTATCGCGTGTTTACTTCTTTCCTTACCTTAAAGTTAGTATAAACGCGCACAATTACTGCCGTCCGCTTATCCTTCATTAGTCCCTTGAGAGCGAGGTGATGTTCCAGGTGTGTTTTGACTGGCGCGGAGTTAATGTATCTTTCCACTTACTTTTTTGGTCGTAGCTGTCCTATCGATAGCTTCTTTCCCTCTTCATAGATCGTTAGGTTCACTGGGAGTACCGGTGCAATATGAGCGCAATTTTCGGGCGAAATTGGCCTACTTCAGAGCCCAATGCTCCTCCCACTTCCTCATCGGTCACGCAAGACTCTCCATCTCTCGTGACGGCCTTCTAGAAGAGTCGTTCCAACAGGTAAGGTTTGTTTTGTATGTGCTCGCTTCTTTGTTGTTTGGATAATTAGATGATTGACCAACTTCCATTTATAGATTCAACGACTGCCGGCTTCTGACTTGCGCAAACGACTATGCATCACATTCCTTGGCGAAGAGGGACTGGACTATGGTGGAATTGCAAGGTATTCTTTGGTGGACTCATGCTGTTTTTTTTATCTTTGGTGTCACTCAGATCTTTTGGAATCTAGCGAATCGGTCTCACAGTGATGACTTCTGTACTACATTGGTTGCAGCGTGATGCGATGTCGAAACGTGACAGCTTTCACCTATACTGTAAATGGAGCTCCTGCCTAATGTTCAAAGAATATTCTTTGCCACGAGCTAGTAAATCTGTAGAAGGCCGTTAGATCCTCATCGAATGCAGCCTATTAATTTACAACTGTATTCTGCATCATGACGAATAAGGAAGGGGGAACCCGGATTGAAGGAACAGAAGACAGTCTCAGTCCTGATAGCAGACAATGAGTACTATTTCGTAGGGGGGCAGTACCGATTAAAACAGGTAGCTGAACAGCTTTGAAGTAAAATAGAATAGAACGGAAGTAAAGACGGATTCCTATGTTAATGTACTTCGTTGAGTGGATTTTGTTGATGGGTTAATGGTCCTGCAAAATTCTCACAGTGAGATTTCAATGGGATTTGTTTAGGAGAGAAATGACCGTTGACCTCTATCAAAACTGCTAAGGCGCGTCATTGTCTGTGGAGCTGAAGATCTTAGCGTTATGTTAAAACACCTTCTGTTCTGTCATTTGGTTGATTTCACCTCTCTACTGCGGTGACTGAAGCAGTGATGAGGTAGAATGAATAAAACAAAAATCTGTATGAAATGATGCTGCGATATCGGTGAAAGCGATGCAAGACGTCAAGAATATCCTCAGTTTAGGCGTTGAATAGCACTAAACTAGTCATCAGGTGGAAAAGAAGATTAAAGACTACTTGCAGAAGGTGTGGTATGCGGCAGAAGAACAAGGCAGTGGTCAGAAAGTAGATTCATCGAGATCACCAAGGCCCTCTAATCCCCCTTATTAAACATGTGAAGAAAAATTTTCACTTATGTTTAACGTAAGTGATGGTAGAACACTTGAATTAAACCTACACCAACTATAATGCAAATGGATGCCACATGCACTGGCACATGATAGATAAAAGTCTTAAAGACCATTGACCTGTTGTTCTTTGTTTGTCTTTTCATTTTATCAAAATGTGCCTTTAAAAAATACTTTTTGATGATAAAGAAATGGGTTCTGGTTGCCTCCTCGTTCCGCTCTCCGTTAAGTGAACGAACGCATCACACTTCTAAGCCACTCTCTACTCCATCCTTGAAAGAACATGTAAAATTTGTGCGTGGTGTGGCAGACTGTTGAGTAAGTCATCAAAAGCTACTTAAAAATTGCGGCTTAAATACATCCATTCGACCCGTCTCGAAGGGTTGCAAGACATATTTTCTCCTCTTCTTCACCGTCCTCTTCTGGTTCCTGCTCTTGAGGAACAGTCAGCACTAATCAGGACCAAGACCGCATAGCTCATATTGCCAAACCTGACTTGTTTCATCCTTCATATTCCTACCCGTATTCATATTGCCCTCATTCTTCACTTTTTGATATTCCCTACGCGACTACCGCCATTTTGTTACACCTGAGTATCCTTAACGGAATTGCACGGGTAGTTGGAAAACTGCGTACGCAGTCACGTTCGCTTATACCCCAACTTACTTCCTGTGCTCGTGCCAAAACCTTTAACACCTAGACGGTAGATTAATTCTACACTACTATTGCACATTGTTACTATTCTCGCGCTTTCACAAATCCATTCTCGGGTTCCGTTTCTTTTCCTTGTGGTTGCGGGTGCAGTCGTCAATAAGTTACATCGGTACGGCTTCCTTTTCTGGACCTTTGATCCTATGTGGGAAGGATTCACCACGCGAAATATTCGATCCCATACAAAGCGCTGATGTCGACAGTGCTTGACGGTGTGCTCCTGACACACCTCTTCTGGTCATAACTCCCAGTCACAGCTACATGACAGAGCTTTGCTCTTTCCATGCTGCATGAAACCCACATACACCGCCCAAGGCCTTTTCTAACTCATCTAGTAACACTGGATGCTATGAAAGCAACTGAATTGCTAGGTGGAATTATTTAAACACGTTTTAGCTCTAGTAAGTGCAACCCAGTTTCCGACGCACAACTCCACACAAACTGGAACAAAAATGTCGCCTCTCTACCTTAGCCGGCAATTTCTCTCAGATCACTTTATTTACTTTACCTTGTTAGCCTCAGTGACTTTAATCTCTCTACCCTTTGGTTTCTATTCTTCTTCCTGCAAGTAATCTAACTTGTAGTAGTTACAGCTGAAGTACAAGTCCAAGTCCATTTTGTCCACAACGTTATTTCTGTGGATAGACAAAATACCATCTAGAGTCGCGTAGTGGATGGGTAGATCTAGATTTGCAGAAACGAGAAGCTAATTACGTATGTGACACACCGATTTTCTTGTCTAAGCCCAGCATCACAAATGTGTGACCCGCTTTCCTTGTCATTTTTGTAATAGATGTGGTTTTGCTAGATGGCATCGGAAATAAACTTATATATGTATCCACTACGAGGTTATTCGTAGCC